ATAAACAACCCGCCGGCCCCAGAATCTACCAACGCCTGGGCCGTCACCGAGCCCTCCGCCCAAGAGAGGACAACGGTGATCAGTGGCTTATCTCTGCGAAACGCCGGGGACGAGGAGACTCCACCCAAGATCTGTCCCCGACAGGCTCTCAGGTGCGAGCGTTTCCCGGACGGACCAGACAGGACTGCCGAAAGTGCCCACCAAGACCACAGTACAGGCAGCGACCCTCCCGACGCCGAGCGGCCCGCTCTCCCTCGGAAAGGCGAGCAAACCCCAGCTGCATGGGCTCACCACCAGACAATCTATCCCCAGGCCTCATTGTTCCAACCGACCTCTGCCGCCAGGGTACGAAACTCTATGGCGTACTCGGCCACGGTCCGTGAACCCTGATGCATGGTTATGAGCAGCTTGGCCGCCGAGGCGGAACGAGCCGGTACGTCGAATACCCTACGGAAGGCATCGACAAAACCGGAAAAATCATGATGAATCACCGGGTCGTTCCTCTCCCATAAGGGATTTGCCCAGGCCAAGGCCTTGTCTGAGAGTAGTGAAATTAGGAACCCAACCCTCAGACGGGAAGGCGTGGGGTATTAATTCAAAATAAATACCCACCTGGTTGAGGAACCCACGACACTGACTCGGCTCACCCCCAAAGCGCTGTGGAAGAGGGGCAGAGCCAGTCATACCTCTGGGTGCCGCTGATGCAGCCGCCGAGGTGGTGGACGCAATAGGCGGAGAAGCAGCGGGAGAGACCACCGGAGTGACTACCGGCCTAACAGCACCAGGAGCAAGGTGTGCAGTGCGTGCAAGCAGAGTTTGCAACGCCTGAGCGAACTGATCCAACAGGTGATCCTGTTGATCGAGTCTGGCGACTAGCGTTGGGAGCGAAGGCGTGCCTGCACCGTCAGGGTTCATGGCACTTGTGTAATGTCAGGGCAGGAGCCGAGGAACGGACAGGCAGGCCTAACAAAGTAACGCGCACTGGCTGACGACAACCACCACCCACAGACCAAAGTCCCTCAGGGCGCGGAGTCTAAGTCCCAGGCTGCCCTTCACCAGGGCCCCTGATGGTGGGGATGGACTTGACGCAGCCAGGAACCAGGTCGCGGCCCCCGAGACACCTCAGCTGCGGAATGGCCGCCGCCAATGGCGTGTAGCTGGTGGAAGAGACAAAAGAGTAGTCAGACAGGCCGGGGTCAACAACAACAGGACAAAACAGTACAGGACAGCAGACGAGAATCACAGGTCACGAGCCAGGTTCAGCAACAGAGGGTCAGATCAAAGGAGAATACAAAGAATAGTCAAGTCACAAGCCGAATCAGAATACCAGGAGAGTCACGAGAGTCAGAACAGAGTAATAGTAACACCAAGACACAAGTGCAAAGAGCATGTGCGGGCCACAGGCTTATATGTCATCAGCCACGCCCCTCTGGGGGGTGGACCTCAGAGACCTGAAGGCATAAAAAGGATTCCCACCCAAGCTCCATGCACAGCAGAATCCAAGATGGACGCCAGCACATGGAGTAACATAACCTCAGGGAAAAGGTAGGACCTTGACACTCATCCACCTTACTCCACTACTACTACCTCCACTGGCTTCTGCTCATCCAATGAATAAAATTCAAGATACTTACAACTTATAAAGCCGTCCACAACTCCCCCCCACCCACATTACTAACCTTGTCTCAAAATCCTGTATAATAATAATAACTTTGGGGAAGGGCTACAGGGTACACATATGACTTCTGCATTTATAAAGGAAAAGACAGTCACCTAGAGCCCCCTGGATGCCCAACCTATATGGGTAGTAGTGGAAAAACAGCATGGGACCTTGTTACCCTCATTCCATCAGGGATATCACCTGTATGTGGATAATTTCTTTACCAGCCTGCCACTTTTTACAGCACCTTTTTCTGCAGCAAACTGTAGCTTGTGGTACAGTACACATCGCAAGTACAATTTGTGAATTCCTGGTCACCACAAAGCTGAAAAGGGGGGAGTCAGTAAGTTTGTGCAATGAGAAAAATTTGGCTGTCACATGGAAGGAGAAGCGGGATATCTATGGTCCTTGTTCCATCCACCAAGACAACTCAATGGAAACCAGCATTATGCTTGTATCTGATGTCCGGCGTACCAACAATTTGCCTATTTTCTCAACCATGTTTTTGCCTGCTGCCTGGACTGACCGTTTGTCAGTATACTGACTATGCCTCTGCTTGCTACCTGAACGGACAATGGACTGATACTCAACCATGTTTCTGTCTGCTGCCTGGACTGATCTTTTGCCTGTATACTGACGACGTCTTTGCATGCCTGAAATGACAGAGGCCTATTAATTGACAAAGTTGCTGGCTGGACTGATTCTTTACCTGCATACTGACCACATCTGCCTTCTGCTCAAACTGACCCCGTCCTGTTTATTGACCAAATTTCTGCTTGTCACCTGGACTGATCGTGCCTGCTGCCTGGACCAATATTTTGGCTATTCGATGACCATGTCGCTGCCTGTACTGACACTGGCATGCTTATCAAGCATGTTCTTGCCTACTGCCTAGACCAAAACATTTGCCTGTTGTTGACCATGTCTCTGCCTACACCAGTACTGACTCATCTGCACTTCCTACAAACTACATTCCTGTGAGACACCACCCTCTGCAGAAAACTGCACAACTGGAACCACAGATACTCTGATACAGATATTCACCCTATGTTCAGCCTCCTGTATGTCCTGGCCAGTGAACATAGCATTGTGCTATAGGGGCAGCCACATACCAGAAGGTTAGGCCTGCTTTACATTTAGGAACAGGGTCTGCTGTATGTGAAGCTATACTATTCTATATTCCCTGACCACTTATACTGAGGTGACCATCCAATGATTTGGAGGGGTGTCCCAATACTTTTGGAAATATAGTGTATATTGCTAGGCATAAATCTGTTAAGAGTTCCTGAAGTTCTATTTCAGAAAATATGAAATATTTGCGTATTTAAACTTCTGAATGCTAGATATTCTTGAGCTCACATATTGAAAGAATAATTTTAAAAGTAACCTTTGCTTTTAGCCAGTTCTAAAAACAAATTCAAGCAAATTAGTTCACTAAGAAATTAGGTTATCAAAGTATCTGCAAGCTTATTGTCACTTTTAAAATACAAAACTCTCAGAAACAAGCACATGTCTTTCAAAGATCTATCATCAGAATCTGGTGTGGCTTTTTCTCTGCTATCCCCCTAAAGGTGCAAGGTTTACTTCATAGGAATATGCATTTGTGCAATTCAGAGATGACCTTAGGACTCCAGTGTTATATACATAGTATGGGTAGCACAATAAACATTTATGAAGAATTAAAGAACGTCTCTGTACAATACAGACACACTGCTCACTGCATGCACAGTGCTGGCACATGGAGCTGTTTTCAGCACCACTTTGGGTACCAGACAAAACTACCACTTCAATAGTAACCAGCTGTTGTTTATTTCCTTTGTTTAGATCCCGTGATTTGTAAGAAATTGAGATTAATAGCCCTGTTGGCCACATGAGAGCAGTTCCTGAAGTGAATTTAAATCTTTCAATAGGGAATGGGGATTGCTGTCCCAGTTATTTGCTTAGGGAAATTGCACTCAATCATGTGAAGACTGTTACTGGGAAATGAGCTCCCACAATTACGCTGTAACAAGGTACAAAAAAGTGGTAGTTTGCAATTTAAAAAGAAAAAAAAAGCAAAATAATTTACAAATCATTTTTACTTCTTAGACAGTTCATAGCTTGATATTGCTTTGGTTATAATTAGTGAATTAATCATGCAGGAGTAGATAAACTGTCACAATACCTTTGCAGGCATCCTGGGCAGAAAACGGCACATTCCAGTCTCGGAAGAAGCCAGGCTTGCATCTCTGGCAGTGAATACCTTCTGTATTATGGTTACAGTTATCACAAACTCCTCCACTACGGTTCCCTGATGTCAGCCCACACATCCAGGTCAAAGTGGCAGCTGTCAGCGTGATCATTACATTTACACTCTGATGAAGACAAAATTGTGAACACATAATGTTAAACATAATTTTCTGTGAAAAACCGATTTGTTTTATTTGCAGCCCAGACCAAATTTCAAATTGCATTTTTCCACTGACCGTTGCATTCAATTGGAATCCAAAGATATACTCCTATCTTTAATCTGAACAAAAATATATCAGTTCATAAATCAGAATACTCTGATCAGCCATCACTTTATGACCACTGACAGGTTAAGTGAATTATATTGATTATCTCAATACATTGGCATCTGAAAGTTGTTGGGATGTGTTAGGCAGTAAGTAAACATGTTGCCCATGAAGTTGATGTGTTGAAAGCAGAAACAAATGGGCATCACAGTTTGTTGTGTATGGGCTGCGTAGCCACAGTCCAGTCAGGGTGCCCATGCTGATGCCTGAAATGGACATGTGAGCATCAAAACTGGACCACGGAGCAATAAAAAGAAAGTTGCTTGGTCTGATGAATCACGTTTTCTTTTACATCATGTAGATAACTGGGTGCATCTGTGTTGCTTACTTTAGTAAGAGATGGCACCAGGATGCAGTATGGGAAGAAGGCAAGCAAGTGGAGGCAGTGTGACTCTTTGATTTAATTATTAATAATTAATCTAAACATTAATACTGACCAAGTATACCCCTTCATTGAGATGGTATTTCCTGATAGCTGTGGCCTCTTTCAGCAGGACAATGTGCCCTGCCACTCTGCAAAAATGGTTAAAGAATGGTTTCAGGAACACAATTGCAAGTTTGAGGTGTTGACTTGTGTTCCACATTCTACAGATCTCATTCCAATTGAACATCTGGGGAATGTGCTGAAAAATGTCTGATCCATGGAGGCCCCACCTCACAGCTTGCAGGGCTTAAAGTGTTACTAAAACCACAACAGTAAAATCAGTCTTTATATGCAGTAAAGCATGCTGGTTATACCCACTGTAGAACCTAAAGGGGGTAATCCTCTGCATTGTATAAAAAGGATGTTTGACCCTGTCTTCTCTGATCCTCCCCTTCTTCTACTGTTCCCAATCCATCTGCTGATAGTTCAGAGGTCTAGTCACTCTGCATATATTAAGTTTTTAGTGTGTATTGCTAGAGTTCTTTTTTCTTTGGAAGGGTGCATGTGATCAGCACAGGGCCAATCAGCACTGTCCAGACAAAGGGTCAGGGCTATACAGCCTCATAGGACAGTCAAAGCAGAATGAAAACTACTCCTAAAAAACAGTGCTCAGCTGGACCCTGATAGAAGTCACAAGACTGCTATATACTGCTGATGAGGAAAGATATTTAGCAATTATATTTAATAAAAAAATAGCATTTCCATGTTGTGTGTACTGTGGGAGACCAGATTTAGTGGATGTAGGGTCATGGGTTTAGTAACACTTTAAAGGATCTGCTACTGACAGCTTGGTGCTGGATACTACAACATACCTTCAGAGGTCTAGTGGCATTCATGCCTCAACAGGTCAAGACTGTTTTGGCAGCAAAAAGGGCTACTTTGGCAGCAAAAGGTGGACCTATTCAATTTTAAGTGGATGATCATAATGTTATGGCTGATTGGCACATTTCTTCCATTTCAGTGACTAGCTTATTACTAGCAGATAAATATACAGTACAGTCTCACTGACAAAACAGTTGAAAAAGTATGGATAGAAAAAAAAAACAGTCAATGCAATGATATATCTCGTTTGTATAACATTTATTGATAAATGTGTGAAATCATAAAATTACTGGAACCTACAATATAGCATTGACATCACTGCCAGTACCACTGGCAAGATTATCTTGGCCTAACATAACCAATAAGATGGAACAATATTCTTCAAGCCTAATGTAATTTCAAAGTTTTGAACAATTTGTCTTTCCAGTTTCCCAGTCCACATACAGTATCCTGCTTTGGAGAGGTGGCAGACAAACAACATATCTCCTACTAAAGTAATCATATTCTTATCAGTTCTCTAAGAATTGTTTCCATTTGTGACGTGGAAATAATAATATAAGAAATAACAATGTTACCTTACCCACAAGTAAATATAGTCCGCCTATTAGATACTGGCCTTTGCCTTGTACCTGCTAGAGTAAATAACTGAGCTACCTGCAGCATAATTCCTGTACTTTGGGAAACATTGAGCTTGGACTAAAAGTGGATTCCTACAAGATATCTGTTAAAATATTAGAGATTTTGGTTGCAGTACCATCTCATATTCTAAAATGATGAACTATGATATTGAGAAGCGAGTGATACTTAGATCAGTCAATTATTAAACTGTGTCTGCTGTTCAGCAGTATTAACCATATAATATAGAAATATAACAAAAAAACACACACAAAGGGTTACACATTTTGTATATCTGGTGCATTATAAATTCTATAGGAAACAAATGTTGACGAAAAATAAAATAGGGTCTTGGGCTTTTTCATATCTATTACAGAAAGCAGTGTAGGGATTAAAGTGAAAAGAACTGACATCCCACCTATTTGTTTTTTGTGCATTGTGTTTGGCTGGGACATCCTTAGAAATCATAAAATAAATGCCTACAGCAACTGAGCTATAAATAGTTTGCATATGCACAGTAACATTTATCAGCAGAACGGAGAAACTGTGACCAAATATATACCATCCTCCTAACTCTTCATTTGAGAATCCCTGGTGCATAAGCATTGATTTAGTACACTGTATTTACCTATACACATAGACATTAAAGTGTTACTAAACCCGCGACAGTAAAATCAGTCTGTATATGCAGTAAAGCATGCTTGTTCTCACGGTGGAACCTAAGGGGTAAATCCTCCAGTGCCTAAAAAGGACGTTTGATCCTGTCTTCTCTGATTCTCCCCTTCTTCCACTGTCCCCAATCCATCTGCTGATAGAACAAGCTGCACATGCTCAGTTTGGTGTGGATTGCTAGAAAGTTGTTTTTTTCTTGGGAGAGTGCATCTGATCAGCACAGGGCCAATCCACACTGTCCAGACAGAAGGTCAGGGGTCCTGCAGCCCCATAGGACAATAAGGGATGAATGAAAACTCCTTCTACAAGCTTTAACCGGTGTTTGGCCAGACACTGATAGAAGTCACAAGACTGCTCTAACTGCTGATGAGAAAAGGTATTTATATTTACTAAAATAATTGCATTTCCATGTTCTGTGTACTGTGGGAGACCAGCTATAGTGAATGCAAGGTCCTGGGATTAGCAACACTTTAATGAATGATTTTTCCAATGAAGCAAATAAGTATGACCATCGCTAAGGAAACGCGATCTTGTAAAATTTCCTCCTCCCCTCCCCATGACTTTACCATTGACATCAACGGCACAGCCATTGGTCCCTCCCCACATGCCAGGGTGCTAGGTGTAATCCTAGACTTTGACCTCTCCTTCAGCCCCCACATCCAATCACTGGCTAAATCTTGGTGCCTAAACAGTTACAGAATTTGCCCCTTCCTGACTAACGACATCACAAAACAGCTTATTCACTCCTTGGTTAATTCCCATCTTGAGACTAATGCAACTCCCTCCTCACTGACCTACCTCTACACAGGCTATCCCTCCTTCAGTCTATTATGATGCTGCTGCTAGACTAATACACCTTACTAACCAATCCGTGACTGCGGTCCCTCTCTGCCAATCTGTTCACTGACTTCCACTAGCCCAACATATAATATTCAAAATACTAACAACATGCTAGGCCATCCACAACCTCGCCCCCAGCTACATCACAAACCTCATCTGCAGAGATCACCCAAACTGTCCTCTCCGGTCCTCCCAAGGTCTCCTGCTTTCCAGTTCCCTTGTTACCTCCCCCCACACTCGCCTCCAGGACTTCTCCAGAGCCTCTCCAATCCTCTGGAACATCCTCCCCCATATGTCCAGTTAGCTCCTACCCTGTCCGCCTTAAGACCATCATTGAAAACTCATTTATTCAGGGAAGCCTACCCCACCTCCACCTAAGAACTGCACTTGAGTCACTTCCATCAGATCATCCCCGCAGTTATTACCTTTTGTATGACCTCCCCCTTCCTTTAGATTGTAAACTCTATGAGTGGGGCCCTCCAATTCTTTCTGTATCGAACTGTATTGTAATTGTACTGTCCCCTTTATATTGTAAAGCGCAGCGTAAACTTTTGGTGCTATATAAATCCTCTATAATAAATAATAATCAAGTTATCCCCAGTCATAGCTGTACTAAGGGCCAACTGTAATGAATATAAGTGCAATCTTAAATGCAGTAACAGGGACGAAAAAAAAAATATGTTGAGTGTGCTTCAGTCTGCTGCATTAGCCTTCTGTTTATAGTTTTTATATGAGAAACCATTTATATAAAAAGTCTTCACAAATCTGACATGAATTAGGTCCATGGGAAGCTTAGCTATTTAGAGCTATAGAACATTCTATTATGCACTTGTCCTTTCGGTGGAAAGCATTTAAATTTATCAAACGCTACATGAGCAGTCTCCAGAGAAATTACTGTTTTATGTTGTTACTGTAAGAAAATGTGTGGTGGTTGTTTGTCAGCTGGCGCCATGGTCACTTCCTAATGTTTGCTTGGTTGAACTGTATTTGTAATGCTTGGAAAATTTTCCACACATAACCTTTCCTTGAACAATGTACCAGATTAAAAACAGACATAACTGGCAATGTGATATGCATATGAGGCCACAAGTATATTAAGTTACACTACTTCTTCACATCTAAAATATACAGAATAACAAAGGCAGAAGCATAATTCTTTAGCATCAGATCTTTACCATCAGGGTTGTAACTAATCAAGAACCCCAGTGGTACATTAACAGGGCCACAAATACAGCATATGTATTTATAAATTTGGAAGCAGTTTTCGATTGATTCTGGCAAGCTGAATTAAATTCAGGCTTCTTATATTGCTAATGATGATATTCTCAATGGAATTTTCTGTTCTATTCAACTGCCCTGCTCCAATCATAATGTTAGGCTCACCCAATGTATTCTTCATAATGTAGTATTAGTCTCGGTTCACACTACTGCTACCTGAGAGTAATCTTCCTGTAATGTCAGATCCAAATCACATCAATGTAGATGAGAATCCGACTTGGAGGCGACTTCTATTAAAGTATATGGTAAGTCAGATAGAAGTCGCCTTGAAGTAGTACAAGAACCTCTTCTAAAGTCGAAGCGACTTCAGTAGCACTAATTAAGACAGCTCTCATTGACTAACATGGGATTTCACATGTCCTGCAACTTGGGGTCTCACAATTTGGATTCCAAGTCGCGGCAGTGTGAACCGAGCCTTAAAGCTTATGTCATGACAAAATAAAAAATATGCAAAAAAATCACTGTATCAAATGCGCATTTCCCTTTGTTTATACGGTAAAGACCCCTGCAAACAATATACATTGATGCACCAGAAATGCCATCAGCTTCTAAGTTCTGTTGTGTGCTAATAACATACAGCTTTTTTGTGGGCTGGGTGTTTGTCAACCAGTGTCTTTTGCTAATATACCTAACCATTCCTACTCTCAGATATCCACAACATAAGAACTAACCATTCTGTAGTCTGAGAGCAGAACTAGGAGGGTTCTTTAAGATAACAAACCGTGGATTGTTCAAATCATTGCGATTTTTTGCACCTATCAAACAGATATAACAAAATGCTTCCAATGGTAAATTAAACTAAAAGGGAGCAAATAAGAGAGGTTCATTGTTACAATTTACAAGCTCTTAAAAAAATGGATAAACCCATCAGTAAAATTGGACACTGGGTATCTGTCAAGAATCAGCAGCAGGGATGGCCAGATCTGTATGGCTACACTTAGAAAACTGAGACCAGAGTGTCTATACTTTATTTACATTGAAACCAAAATCCATCCAACACCAGCAAACATGAAACACTGCAAACGTGAAGATACAAATAAACCAAGTAACAAAATACCCAATAACCTAACTATAATACAGTATATACAAAATGAGAAACACAGATCACAGGGAATACCAGAGATGCAATTAAAGGCGGAACCAGGACTGGAATCAGGAAAAAAAAAGGGGAGCAGGTACAAGGCAGCAGGGTACAAGACAGAAGCAAAATTTAGGTGCAAGGTAGGAGTAGGAGCAGGTTCAGCACTAAACAGCAAGCATGAAGCTTGTTGACAGGCAAAACACTGATGAGAGAGGCACTAGTAGAGGAGCAATTAAATACCCTCCCAGCAGCCAGTACCAGGTGGAGACTGATTACGGGGATCTGCTGGCTGCTGGGAGACACACGCGGGTGGACACTGAAACTACAGTCTTCTGCCCAGGGAACCAAAGTGCCACCACTCAGGTCTACCCAAGGAATAGGTAACCCAATCCAAGACCTCGAATGTACCTGGGATCACAAATGTCTGGACAAGGTTCAAATCAAACTCTGCCCTTTCCTAAAAAAAACTCTCCTACTGGGGCTATAAAAGCAGGCTTTCACATTCAAAGTTAGTATCTGGACCACCCGGCCTAGGCGCATCAGAAGCAAATGGCTGCAAGAGGAACTCAGAACAGGCAACAACAGGGATCCTGGAGAAAACAGTTAACCCATGCAAGCCACCTGAGAATAATGGAAACTTGGACCCAGACATTCGGTTTCAGACCCATCAGCAGGTGGGAGCTGGACTAGAGTCCAGTTGGGCAGCCATCAGTGAATCAGCATAGTCCGGCTGGGCAGCAGACAGGGAACAGGCAAAGTCTGGATAAGCAGCCAGAGTGGCAAAATACCTAACAAAGTAATTGTAATACAATATATACAAAATGAGTGTCAGGGCAGGAGCTGAGGAACGGACAGGCAGGCCTAACAATGTAACGCACTGGCTGACGACAACCACCACCCACAGACCGAAGTCCCTCAGGGCGCGGAGTCTAAGTCCCAGGCTGCCCTTCACCAGGGCCCCTGATGGTGGGGATGGACTTGACGCAGCCAGGAACCAGGTCGCGGCCCCCGAGACACCTCAGCTGCGGTAATGGCCGCCGCCAATGGCGTGTAGCTGGTGGAAGAGACAAAAGAGTAGTCAGACAAGCCGGGGTCAACAACAACAGGACAGAACAGTACAGGACAGCAGACGAGAATCACAGGTCACGAGCCGGGTTCAGCAACAGAGGGTCAGATCAAAGGAGAATACAAAGAATAGTCAAGACAAGCCGAATCAGATACCAGGAGAGTCACGAGAGTCAGAACAGAGTAACAGCAACACAAAGACACAAGACACAAGTGCAAAGAGCATGTGCGGGCCACAGGCTTATATGTCATCAGCCACACCCCTCTGGAGGATGGACCACAGAAACCTGAAGGCATAAAAGGGCTCCCATCATGCACAGCAGAATCCAAGATGGACACCAGCACATGAAGTAACATAACCACAGGGAAAAGGTAGGACCTTGACAATGAGGAACACAGATCATAGGGAATACCAGAGATGCAAGGAAGGAGGGAACCAGGACTAGAATCAAGAACAAGGGGAGCAGGTACAAGGCAGCAGGGTACAAGACAGGAGCAAGATATAGGTGCAAGGCAGGAATAGTCTCAGAATTAAACAGCAAGCATGCATCTGGCTGGCAGGTAAAACACAGACGCACAATGCACTAGTAGAGGAGGAACTAAATACCCCCCCAGCAGCCAGCACCAGGTGGAGATTGATTATTGGGATCTGCTGGCAGCTAGGAGATGATAGGTGGACACTGGAACTACAACCTTCCGCCCAGAGAACCACAGCACCACCAGCAGGTGGTCCAGGTCGTGACAGTATCAAATTGTAGAGCAGATACAAAAACCACCATAGAGAAATCTAATCACTGAAGTCTCCAAAGGATATAAGAGTTTCAACTAACTAAATAAATACTGGGATCGGTGAAGTAAATCTCTGACTTGGCTATTAAAAATTGATTTAACTGTTATGGCTTCCTCCGTGAGGTCGCTCATTAGCAACTTATACTGTTAAAACAATTGTTGCGCACTACCTCACTCATGCTTACCTGACTAATGCTTAATTGTGTTCCCTGCATTGAAAATCTACTGTAACTTTTTTGCTGCAACAATTATAATTATTGTACCAGAAAATGTTATTAAATTGTTAGTACTGATCTGCTGTATACCTGGAGTATTAAGTAGATTTGTTTTTTTGCTGCTA